AGGGAGGGAAAGAAAGAACAAAAGAAAGAAAAAGAAAGAAAGACCTCCTGAAACTATTCAGAAAATATCCACTTTGGTAGGACTCTCCTTTTTTCTGGACAATCGGAACAAATGGAAAAACAAATTTTCACTTGATTGTATTATATCGGGTTCTGAACATTTGTAAGTCTAAATCTAAATCAATGGTTGAATCTCAGCTGGAGGGGAAGGGAGTGAGGAAGGAAGGGTTTTGTCTCTCAGGAGTCATTTGGCAATATCAGGAGACATTTTTGGTGATCATGACTGGGTTGGCAGTGTTAATTTTGGCATCTAGAGGAGAGGGATGCTGTTCAACATCCTACAATGCACAGGACAGCCCCCACGACAAAGAATTATCTGCGATGTCAGTAGTGCCGACGTTGAGAAATCCTGGTCTAAGTGTGTTTCACGTGATCTTCTGTAAAGCCTTAGTGTATTAACATGTTCTAAATTGATAAGGTGATTTTCAGCCTGGGAAGAGCACTGTATATACTAAATGCACCTAAAACACCTCTAGTTTTTATTTTTTATTTTATTTTGGTGTTTTGTTTTGAAACACGGTCTCGCTCTGTTGCCCAGGCTGGAGGGCAGTGGCGCGATCTCAGCTCACTGCAACCTCTGCCTCCTGGGTTCGAGCAATTCTCCTACCTCAGCCTCCCAAGTAGCTGGGACTATGCAGCAGCGTGCCACCTTGCGCAGCAAATTTTTGTATTTTTTGGTAAAGACGGGGTTTCACCATGTTGGCCAGGTTGGTGAACTCCTGACCTCAAGTGATCCGCCCACCTTGGCGTCCCAAAGTGCTGGGATTACAGGCGTGAGCCACCGTGCCCAGCCTGCCTCCAGTTTTTATATTTTCCCTTCCTCCCTTACCCCATGCCCCTTCCTCAGAAGCTTGCCTCCTTCTACTCCATAGCTTCCATGACTTGGGAGAATTTTTGTCCGTGGCTTGAGTACCGGTAAGACTTTGTGCTTGGGTGAGGCTCTTTTTGGTCTGAGCTCCTTGGGGATTGGGTTGCCTCCAGCTTGGGCCCATTGTCTCCCTCTGCTGTTGGGGGAACAGGGTGGGAGGCACTGTCTAGGAAGGTGTGAGGACAGTATTAGGCGGGGCCAAAGACGTGGCCACCTAGCCTTGTACACTGGATGTAAAAGGGCCTGGGGTGTCTTGGACCCTCGCCATTTAGCCTCCCATCAGAAACGTTTGCAGAGGTGGGTACCTCAGCAGAGCCCAGCAGACAGTGGAGGCTGGCTTATTCCACTCAGGCCAGGCTCACACACAATCCATGTGCCCTGCTCAGGGATAGGCACCTTAAGGTGACCTCTGGCCCCTGGTCCTGAAGTCCTGCCCAGGGTAAGGGATGAGCAGCTCTGCTCATCCTGGCTCTGCTGAGGTGCCCACCTCTGCAAACATTTCTGATGGGAGGCTAAATGGCAAGGGTGCAAGATACCCTGGACCCTTTTACACCCAGTGTACAAGGCTAGGTGGCCACATCTTTGGCCCCTCCTAATACTGTCCTCACATCTTCCCAGACAGTGCCCTCCCACCCTGTTCCCCCCATAACTCCGTCTCAAAAAAAAAAAAAAAAGAAATGAAGCCTCCATAAAACCCCCAAAAAGAACAAGGTTCAAGGAGCTTCTGGATAGCTGAACACATGGAAGTTCCTGGAGGGTGGCACCTGGAGAGGGCATGGAATCTTCATGCTCCTTCCCACATGCATGCCTCTCCTTATGCATCTCTTCATCTGTATCCTTTATAATACCTGTTAGAATAAACTGGTGTTAAGTGTTTCCCTGAGTTCTGTGAGCTGCTTTAGCAAATTAATTGAACCCACGGAGGGCGTTGTGAGATCCCCTATTTGTAGTCATTCGGTTGGAAGCACAGGTAACAAAACCCAGGAGCTTGTGATTGGAAGCTGAAGGTGAGAGGTGGGAGGTGGAGTTGCGGGGAGGGGTGGGTGGCCGAGCAATGGCAATCTTGGGGACTGAGCCCTCAACCTACAAGATCTGATGCTATCTCCAGGTAGTGCCAGAATAGAACTAAATTAGAGGACACCCAGCTGGTGTCTGCTGCAGAACTGATTGTTTGCTTGTTGGTGAGAAATCCCCACACATGTGGTCACAGAAGTCTTCTGTGTTGCTGATTGCTGTGGTGTGACAGCAGAGGAAAATCAGTCTGGGTATTTTCCTAACTCAGTTTACCTCTCTTGTGCTATCTGGGAATCTTCAAAATGATGATACTGAGCAAGTTCCTATCATGAGGGGGTTGGAAAATCCATAACTATTGGCTCAGATCCTACTGAGGAGATGCTGGAGACAGGAGAGAACTATGTTGTTTTGTGTCAGGTTTCATTGATTTTTCTCCATTCTTTATTCATTTTAAATTTCATTGTTTTATGCTCTGCTTTTTAGTATCTCCCCCTATTTATTTTAGATTTGATTCACTCTTTCAGCTTCTCAAGGCGAAAGTTTAAATTTTAAACATTTATTTTCCAGTATAAATACTTAAAGCTATAAATTTTTCTCTAAGTACTGCTTTAGCTGCCTCCTTCAATTTCCAATACTTTTTTTATTGTTATTCAGCTCAAATTCTTTCAAATTTTCCTTATGATTTCTCTTTTGACTCACAAGGTATTTAGATGTATATTGCTTATTCATAAGCGTTTGGGAATTTTCCAGATATCTTTTTGTTATTGATCTATCTGTAAATTCACTGATCCCTTCTTCTGCTGTCCAATCTGCTGTTCAGCCATCCAGTGAATTCTTCATTGGACATGTTGTAGTTTTCAGTTCTGGAATTTCCATTTGGTTATTTTTAATTTTCCCATTCTTCTGTTGAGATCCATTAACTCACGATGATCATCTTTTTCCTCTCAGTTCTTGAATATATTTATATCACTGTTTAAAGATTTTTCGGCTGGTGCCAACTTCTTGGGTCATCTCAGGTTCTGTTTCTACTGACTGCTTTTTCTTTTGGCTATGAGTCATGTTTTCCTCTGGGTTTTTTTTTTCTTTCACATGCCTTATAATTTTTCATTGTATATTAGACATTGTAGATAGTGAACTTTAGAGGCTGGATTATCTTCCATTGAGGAGTGTTGATTTTTGTTCTAATAAGCAGTTAACTTACTAGTTGATCACCTTGAACCTGCTAAGGCTTGGTTTTATCTTTTGCTAGTGTGAGTTAGCTTTGGCTTTGCCCTTAGTCTCAGAACAAATATTTAGTCCTGGGATATAGATTTTAGCTCTATGGTGTGCCTTTTGGGAGTTTTAAGTGGAAAGCCCTAAGTGTTTACCCAGACCCTCTGACTTGGGATTCAAATTCAAACTCTACAGTCAAAATCTGTGTAGCTCTTTCAGACCTCCAGTGGTTGTCTTTTACTGGGCTCTTGGAAATTCCTCCATCCAGTTTAGCAGTCAGCCTGTGATTTGAGGGGAGTTTATATGCAGATTTAAAGACTTCGCCTTCTGTGGCTTCCTTCACTCCAGGAAATCTACCTTCAGGTGTTCTGGAGCCCCAAACTGTCTTCTGTCCTCTGACTCTTCAAGCCGAAAAAGGCTGGGGCTTTCTGCTCAAGTTCTAGCTATCCTGTGCCATTTTTACTCAGGAGTACACTCAGGGAAAACAAAAACAAAAACAAAAAAACCCAAAAAACAATGTAGACGTTTCTTTTCATTGAAGAGTTGAGTTCCTTTCAGTTTCTGCCTGCTTTGGATACTTTAGGTGTTTTCAAAAAGTTGTTTTCATATTGTGTCCAGTTTACAATGCCTAAGGGTGCATTCATCTAATAAACCTTTCTGCCATTACTGGACCATCCTTTCACTTTTTAACTTATTTATACCTAAAACGTGTCACATTTAACTCATCTATATATTTATGATCTGCTGAGGTGGAAAAGATTCATTCATAAAGCCTAAAGTGTAGTACCGAGTACAAGTGCAGGTGGAACTTGTCACTGGGGTGGGCTGCACAGAAGAGGTCTTTGTGAGGTAGGCTGTGAGGGCTAGGTAAGACTTCAATGAACAGACAGGAGGAAGACTGTGGTGACTTGTTGAGCTGAGGGTAGGGGTGGGCATGAACATGGCGTGAGGACAGTGAACAGACCCGCCTCCCTGTCTGGAGGTCTGAGTAGGAAAGGCACACTCTTTGAGTAGATTCAACACAAAGAAATGGAGGCAGCCTGGCTCAGGGATGCCCTAGACCTCTAGGCATTGTCAAGTTGCCTAAGTCCTGTTCCATCAAGGCTGTTGACTGATGTGCTTCCAGGGCACTCCCCACTCCCAGCCCTTTCCTCCAGCCCGAGGCTGGTTCCCAGCCTCTCAGGGGAATTAAAATGGGCACCTTCCACAAAGGGGCAGATGAGGTGAGGAAAACTTAACCGATACAGTTGTGCCAGAAGCCAAAACAAAAGGCGTGCCCTTTCTATAGCCCCATTAAAAGAACAGCAAAAAGGTGGAAGCATCTTCAGTGAATATGGGTCAGCACCTCCCAGACCTCAGGGAGTTCACTTCTATTCATTCCAGCACCCAGCATTGCATATCCAGATTATTTGAGCCCAATCTTTTATCCTCTGAAGAACACAATCAGCTTTGGGGCCACAAAAGGTTTAGGTAGTGGTTTAGCGATTTCTAATCCCAAACTTTGTCCTTGGGAGGTTTAGGATTAGTATTGATCATTCACAGAGCCCAAGTGTTTTCAGAGGAGGGGTTTTCTGGGGTGGGAGGATCACCTATAAGAGGACTCAGAGGGGGGTGTGGGGCATCCATGAGAAAGATGTCAGAGGAAGAGGAGTTTTATCTGTTCAAAAATCTCTCTTCAGTGAAGCCGTGGGATGGGCCTCAGTACCACATTGCCCCTGTCTGGGCCTTCTACCTCCAGGCAGCTTTCATGGGCATTGTCTTCCTTGCAGGGTTTCCACTCAATGCCATGGTGCTGGTGGCCACAGTGCGCTACAAAAAGTTGCGGCAGCCCCTCAATTACATTCTGGTCAACGTGTCCTTTGGAGGCTTCCTCCTCTGCATCTTCTCTGTCTTCCCTGTCTTTGTCAACAGCTGTAAAGGATACTTCGTCTTTGGTCGCCATGTTTGTGCTTTCGAGGCCTTCCTGGGCACTGTAGCAGGTACTGCAGGGGAAAAGGGGTTACGGGAAGGCAAAGGTTGCTACTCCACTGGAGGGGGTCCTTAAAGAGGAGTCTGGGGGAAATGAGTCTGGTGCTTTTTAAAATACTGGGGTACAAAGCAACCCAGACTACAAGTTTGGCCAAAATAGGATGTTTGTGTCTTCACTCCAAATGTCAGTCCAGTCCTGTCTCTCTGTGCTTGCTCCACCCAATCTGTCTGCCACTCTGCCAGCCAGGCTGGGTGGGGCCCTGTCTACCCCATTATCCTCACATTTCACCACAGGTCTGGTGACAGGCTGGTCACTGGCCTTCCTGGCCTTTGAGCGCTACATTGTCATCTGTAAGCCCTTCGGCAACTTCCGCTTCAGCTCCAAGCATGCACTGACGGTGGTCCTGGCTACCTGGACCATTGGTATTGGCGTCTCCATCCCACCCTTCTTTGGCTGGAGCCGGTGAGAGTGCAGGGCAGCAATGCTGACTTAATTAGCTCAGGTTGATGTGGGTGGAAAGAGAGCTTGGGTATAACTATTTAATCTCTGACCTCTACTTTTTAAAGAGTTGTAGTATGAGGTGAAAGGGCAGTGGGAGACGAGTGCTAGCGTTTACTCTGCAGTTGGAATTGCTGTAGCTTCTCCCAGTCAGGACAGAAAATCCCCCTGCTTGAAGCCTTTGGGCAGTCTCTGGGTTCTAAGTGGAGAACACAATCCAGGCATCTCAGCTCCCACTGCACTAACTCTTGTGGAGAGTCCAGTGAGCAAGTGTTTGGTCCTTTGCAGGTTCATCCCTGAGGGCTTGCAGTGCTCCTGTGGCCCTGACTGGTACACCGTGGGCACCAAATACCGCAGCGAGTCCTATACGTGGTTCCTCTTCATCTTCTGCTTCATTGTGCCTCTCTCCCTCATCTGCTTCTCCTACACTCAGCTGCTGAGGGCCCTGAAAGCTGTGAGTGGCATTTGACAGTCAGGGAGGAATGGGTTTGGGGCTCCACATGAGAAGGAAGAGTGCTCTGGAACATAAGATGCCTAGAAATGTCCATAGCCAGAGAGGGTATCTAAAAGCAGCAAAGGAAGTGGGAGGAGGGAGAATGATGGAGATCCAAAGGAACTAGGCCAGGAGATGGGGCAGAAAAGAGGCATTCAGAGTGGACGTCCCCTCCCCCATCCCATAGAAAAGTATCCAGAGGCCGCGCACAGTGATTAACACCTATCATCCCAGCACTTTGGGAGGCCGAGGCAGGCGGGTCACCTGAGGTCAGTAGTTCCAGACCAGCCTGGCCTACATCGTAAAACGCTAAAATGCAAACATTAGCTGGGTGCAGTGGCATGCACTTTTAACCCCAGCTACTCAGGAGGCTCAGACAAAAGAATCACTTGAACCCGGGAGGTGGAGGTTCAGTGAGCTGAGATCGTACCACTGCAACTCCAGCCTGGGCAACAGAGCGAGACTCCAGTCTCAAAAAATAATAATAATAAAAAAAATAAAAAATTAAAAAAATTAAAAAAAAAAAAAGCATCCAGTGGGCCAGGAAAAAGAGGGATGTGATGCTCTCTGTCTTCACCCCAGGTTGCAGCTCAGCAGCAGGAGTCAGCTACGACCCAGAAGGCTGAACGGGAGGTGAGCCGCATGGTGGTTGTGATGGTAGGATCCTTCTGTGTCTGCTACGTGCCCTATGCAGCCTTCGCCATGTACATGGTCAACAACCGTAACCATGGGCTGGACTTACGGCTTGTCACCATTCCTGCATTCTTCTCCAAGAGTGCTTGCATCTACAATCCCATCATCTACTGCTTCATGAATAAGCAGGTAAAGCTCTCTATTCACATTCCTGTGGTCCAGAAGACCCTGGTTCTTCTTGACTTTTAACTCGGAGCACCCTGGACTCTACTCAGGTTTCTAGGAGTAGACGAGGGAAGCCACAAAACCCCTGAGGAGGTTGGGAAGCCCTTGGTAAGCACAGGGAGGAAGGCATGGTTATCAAGATGAGAAAATAGAACCCCAGAGGAAAAGAACTTGAGTCAGGAAAACGAAGTTGCTCCAAAGAACGGGATGAGCGAAAGCACTTTATTGAAAAACTCGTGCAGCAAACCACTATGGCACATGTTTACCTATGTAACAAACCTGCACATCCTGCACATATATCCTGGAACTTAAAAAAAAAAAAAAAAAGATTCCTCTGAATTTCCAGTCCTTTCATTTAATAAGTTCTTAATCATTTCCCTTCCAACTTTTAGCCTGCATGAGCATGTGTGAAGCACAGAAATCGTACCACATGCATAAATCTCTAAAATATCTTATCATCTGAAGGTACTGGGGAATTGCCTATCCCCTATCCTGAAATCTGAGCTAATAAACACCAAACCCTAAGTGGCAAAAACCCTACTTTCAGATAGATGGTATTGGTTCCTCAATCCCAGAGGTAGACTCAAAAATAATTTGAAACCTCCCTGGATAGAACAGAATTGGCAGTCCTTTCCAGCTGGGAGCACCTGCTAGTGATGGAGGGGCCTCTGTTGGCAGTGCTTTTATGAAGCAGGATGGTTTGTGAATTTACGAACAGTGAGGTCTCAGACTTGACCAGAATATTTAGGATTACCATAGACCCTGGAGTTGTTCTAGACTGGAATCTAGATAGTTTTCACGACGAGGAAGATAGATTCAGAACCACGTAAGGGCATTCTGGTACAAAGCATTGGGCAAGGCTTTGGTGATACACAGAATGAGGTCTTTTTTCCCATACTTCCTTGTCTGCCAAGGCTATCTCCAATTGTGCCTTTCTCTCCAGTTCCAAGCTCACATCATGAAGATGGTGTGTGGGAAGGCCATGACAGACGAATCCGACATAAGCAGCTCCCAGAAAACAGAAGTTTCTACTGTCTCGTCTAGCCAAGTTGGCCCCAACTGAGGACCCAATATTGGCCTGTTTGCAACAACCAGAATTAAATTTTAAGTAAGTTTCTATTGTCTCTGTCAGAAACCAAACTACTAAAAACACAAAAAAGATGGTAAGAGGAGTGATGGCAGTTTGGGAAGTCAATTTTTCATTTTCTTACTATTGCCTTCTTGCCTACAAAGCTACTGTTTCCACTGGGTCTATTTCAGACCACACAAAGGCCATTTCAACAATTATCAGTTTCTACTCCTAAGTGGCACCATTCACAGCACTTGGAGAACTGATTTTTACATACAAGGCAACTAAAAAGGAATATGGCTTTAAGTTTTCAGTGTATGGATACTTTCCTTTTTAGTAACTTTTTTTTTTTTTTCCTGCTGGGGATCCATTCTGAGATGATATATACTGAATTAGAACAAACTTAAGAAAACACCTTAGAAATGGGAAAGACATAAAGAAAAAAACCCCCCAAAAACAAAAAACCTTAGTGGTCCCAAATATGTTTGAAAGAACTTCTGGATAACTGCTACAGCTTTGGCAGGAACAGCCATGTCCACAAGCCCCTGAGCAAGCACAAATTATTCCAGGTGCTTCCTCCCCATTGCATTTGGCTAAAACTTTGTATTTGTCTTAAACTGTGTGTTTACTAAAGTTAATAGTTTAATTCTCTTGAGGTTCTCAAAATGAATTTGCATGTCTTAGTACCATTTGTAAACAATACCATAATGTTAAATAAAATTGTTTTACTTTATGCTCTATACTCTCCCTCCAGGCCCCCCAAAAAGAACCTTTTTGAAATAAAAATCAAGATAAACGTGTGTGTACATTCAGAATCGCTTGTGTTTGGTATCAGATAATTATAAAACGAGCAGCAGGTCTCTCCAGTTATACAGCCTAATGGAAGTAAAGAAAGGTCATGGCTCTGGTGAGAAGGATGCTAGAAAATACCAGAAAACAGGGAGAAAAGAATAACCATTTAGGAGAAGGCAGTGCTGTCTCTGAGTTTGGGAGAACTTCAAGGAGAGTTCCCTTTCTGACATTTTACAGCATCCATACTCCTAAGCTAGAGTTTTATTTCTTAGAAAATGAAGGTCATACATACCCCATAATGAATGTAAACAGTTTTATTTAGAAACAGATAGGTACCTGTTCGCATTGCAGAATATAAAACTTGGTTTACACTCTATAAAAAATAACCAATATCCAAATTCAAGAGAGCTAGCATTCACAGAACACACAATATGGGTGTGTAGCTACTGTTCACCAGCCTCAGGCTTGATTTAAACCAAAAAAAAAATCCAAAGGGATCATTCAAGATTACCGTACAATGCCTCCTGCTGTCTTAGCAGATTAAGGTTTGCTTTTCAAGTGCGTGATTTTAACATAAAGTCTGGGCTCTCTGCACCTAGTGAGGTGTGAGGCTCTCTTGCCACACAGTTCACACTCACTTAACTAAGCCAGAGTTGGTAGATTATTAAATTATCACTGGTCTTCTTAACAGTAAAAATGGGGAATCCAGAGGGCAGGAAATTTCCATTACCCTATATTGGGGCTAAACTGAAAAGAGTATATCCATTATCAAGAGCTCAGTACAAAGGCTGGGGTGAAGTTGCATGATACCTGGCTTTTTAACTATACCAGGGAGCCCACCTCAACATGACTGTGGAAGACCAAAGGATATACCTAGGTTCAGATTATAATAAATCACCCAGCACCACCTGAATGTATTATCCACAAAGATATAGCAATAATAAAGGTTATATATACATATATTTATCTTGGTAACCTGAGGGCTAAAAACGTGGAATACGATTCTTCTTCTCAAGAGGTCCATCTGTAAGAAAGGGACCCAAAAGGACAGTGTTTGTGTTGCATAAAATATGGGTGAAGTAGAGTTGGGAACAGAGGGTGGTTTCTTTAGCTCTTTCCGCATCTCTCTCTCTGATAAGGACTGAAAACCTGTTGATTCATGATAAACTTTTCCTTTTTTTTTTTTTTTTTTGGTAGCGGGGAGAGGGACAGAGGAAGAAATGGGGTATGATGGGTCAAAGGCAGGAAGGGTGAGCCATGGTCCTCAAACCAAAGAGCCCTCTCTGTAGGTCCTCTCATCTTTGAGTGTGAGCCTCAAGCTCTCCAGCGGACACAGGAAGAGGCCTGGTAATAAGTGGTTTGCATTGTGAGGTATGAGGATCCCTGGTAAATTCAGCAGCATGTGGTTTTTGGAAATCAGCCCACAAGATAAGAACACTGCAACCAAATTCATAACTAATACTGCTAATTTAACTATTGTCCAAAAGAGAAAGGAAAGAAGAAAAAAATCCCCACTATATTGGGAGGTTCTAGGCTTTCCTATAAGTTATCCAAATAGTCTTTTTTTAATCTTAGGGTTTCTTAAGAGAATTCCCATTCAGTGACCATTTCTTTCGTTAAAGGCACTTTCAATGACATGATTGGAAAGGAGTGAATTTTAATTGTGGTGAAACCAAGATTAATTCCTTGGCACACCCTGGAAGAAGAGGAACTGGATTGGGGCATTTACAGTGATTTCAACAGGCAAATAATTAAGTCGTGAGCATTTCAACAGATGCATACCGAGAAAAAAATGTTTGCCCTGAAAACACTTGTATTTTTCCTTTAGTTTTACAGCTGTTTCTATCTATAGCTCTGTAAAGAGATCACATTCACTACTTGATTTTCAAGACACTGGCCCTAACTCTTCCCACTACAGCTGTGCTTGACAAAATTAGCCAACAGTCAGTACTACAAGGGGAAAAAGAATAAAATCAATTTGGGCCAAGCTTTCTTAGAGCAAAGGGATCTTTCCTTGCCCAGGTAATGGCAGGTTCAGTTGCTGGACGTGTAGCAACTGAATGTAGTATGTGGCCCCTACTACCTATGAAATGTTGGACTTTTTGATAGGCAAAACTAAGTGTTCTCTCTCTAAATATAAATTGTGGAGTATATATTTTTTTCCTTTCCTCTCTTCTGCACATTTCTTATTGATCTCAGGCTTACAAAATTAGTTAAGTGAGAATTATTAAAATCATATAAGGGGTTGAGAAAGAGTAAAGAGCTAATGTTTGTCTACATGTGTGAGTTGAGGATCTTGATCCTTCATATCATACTCCCAACCAGAGAACAAATACAAAAATAAACACGCCATGTTATACATAATACAAAGTGTAAATCTACAAACACAAGTGTACTAATAAGAGTTGTTCCTCAGAAGCACGGCTTCCCTCCAGTCCCTCAGAGAGGAGGAGGAATGGGGACGGGATGGTTTTCATTACGCCTTTTCATGTCTTAAAAAGTTTGTAATAACAGTCTCAGTAGCGCAAACAATTTCATGTGAAACCAGAAGCTGTAAAAATAAATTACTTTTGAGGAAATGAGGGTTCCTCCGCAGCTCAGAACTCATCATGCCGTACTAAGGCCTCCCCAAAATCTGTGGCCTGGCTGCCAACAAATAAGTCATACTTGTCAACGATCTCCTCCTTGGTAAGCTTGCCATCCTGAAATTAGAGATAGCAATGAATTGAAGCAGAACATATTTCCCATTAAAAATTCAGAAACACTGTTATAGAAGAATCGGGGTTAATCAGCAGTTAAGATTCTCACTTCTACTAAATTAAGTGTGAACTCAGCCCTCATTCCCCCCACATACATACAAAGAGGGAAGAAAACAGCAATTACACATCCCCTTTTTCTTTTTTTGAGACTGAGTTTCACTCTTGTTGCCCAGGCTGGAGTGCAATGGCGCAATCTCAGCTCACCGGAACCTCCACCTCCCGCGTTCAAGTGATTTTCCTGCCTCAGCCTCCCGAGTAGCTGGGATTACAGGCATGCGCCACCATGCCCAGCTAATTTTGTATTTTTAGTAGAGACGGGGGTTTCTCCATGTTTGTCAGACTGGTCTCGAACTCCCAGCCTCAGGTGATCTGCCTGCTTCAGCCTCCCAAAGTGCTGGGATTACAGGCGTGAGCCATCGTGCCAGGCCCATTAAACATTTCTTTTATCAAGAAAGTTAAAAGTGAAAGGGTGGAAAGAATATAACACAATAACTCAATGCTAGAAATAAAGCCTTCATGAGGAGAAAACTCTCCCTTTAGAGAAAAATATGGAACATCTCCTAGACGGGGATGACTACATGCATTTCCTTTTCTCATACATCTCAGGACACAACACCTGGCTACTAAAGTGACTTTGAGCAAGAACTTAAAGCAGATCAACACTTAAAAAGGCTCTAAGATAAAAAACTGAATTTGAAACTGAAGACTAGCCTAGACAAAAGTATACTCAGAACACTAAAAATCTCCATTTTGACTGATTTTTCAGCTTACTCCAAGCAGGGCATTCAAATCTCCGACACAGGTGACTGGGCTTAGGGACACTACTTTGAACAAAATACCTCAGATAACTAATTGATCAAGGACAATTTGAACAGGCTCCAAAGAAAAGTTGATTTATAGCCTACACAAAGGACCCAATTAAAAAAAAAAATATTTGATTTAAGAAGGAAACAACCAGCTTTGAGTAGAAAGAATGGGCCTGTGACAGGTAAAGGAACAAATGAAGTAACAAAGCAAAAAAAAAAAAAAAAAAAATTCCTGGGGATCTAAAAATACGTGATGATGCATGCTGGGCACAGGCTACACACAAAGGCTCTTTTCTGAAGCCAGATTTCCTACAATGCTATCAGCACTGGGCAAAGGGATTTCTAAAATGAGATCAGATAGCTAGTGCTGCCCTGAAAGGTTTTAATCACCAGATTCAGATAGTTGGCTGACTTAAGACTAATTAAGACCCTAAATGCTCTTTGCACCTTAACATAAACTGCTTAGGTGATCCCCCAGAAGCATACTTCAATCAAGGATAGATTGTGTGGGCCTGGCCAGACTTACCTTGTTTTGGTCTGATTCATAGACCAGGTGCCTGGCTTCTGCCTCTGCATGATCATAGTCTGAGGGAAGGATCCAGTCTTTGGTCTCTTCCTTGTCCATCTTTCCATCACGGTTCTTATCCCGAAACTCAACAAACTGCTCTCGCTCTGTCTTTACCCATTCTGGCTCATCAGTATTCCCATCATGGCTGTACATATCACCTGGGCACACAGACATACATACAAAAGAAGGGTTT